AGTAGTTGGTTGTAATGAAATAAACAGGTGTACTACATGTGGGTCCAACAAACTTCAAAGTCAAGTTAATTACTGTATAGCAAAGGTAATCTCGTCGCCAGTAATTCTTTCATGTTCATCTAAGCATACATTTTTCCAAGTCAATTTGGAGCAAGAATCTAACAGGTAGAGTTGCAAACTAGGAAGCACTAACAATCCAAAAACCTGCGCATATCTGTGTTTGAACAAGTTTTTATGACATTAACCTTAATGATATATCCTGCACACATCACATATGTATTGCGTCATGTCTGATACCCTTAAGTGCAATTCTTCCTAAGTTGCAAACTAGAATATATAATTTCAGTGAAGCATTAACACAGAGCAGTCAGGAGAAATCCCCCTCCTCATTAGGGACTAAATCCTGGTCCTGTAATCATTAGTTTCTTTGGAAATCTGTCCCGTCCCACTACCACCAGCTCTTATGGCATCTACATAATGTCATATATGAACATGTCTCATTCAAAAAAGTCTCTTAAAACTGTTTGAGCAAAACTCGAGAGAAAATCTTTTTACTTTCCTTTCTTTCTTAGTTTATCTTATGCATGTGCCAACCTGCCTTCCAACTGGTTGCTCCACTTATTCAATTTGTAGCATTTGGATACAAAATTTATTTTCTAGTTCCGCCATAAGCTCCATATTGTTTTTACTATAGATGTGCTAACCTGGATCTCATTGCTTGGCCCAACTGGGGGAACTGGACAGGGAAATAGCCAGGCACCCGAGAACCAAACCCGCTATTATTATTGAAGCCCACAAACAATTAAGAGGGCATCCTCTAGAACCAAAAGATATACCGAACATCAATATTCTACTAAAAATCTTAAACCAAAAACCACATTTCACCAAAATCCTAATCAAATCTTAAATGAATTTCAAAATGCCTCAAAAGAAAACATCCTCAGTATCAGTAAAACTCCCTCAAGAATTCTAAATTTCTACTATAACCATCCAAACAAAACTATAAATTGACATAATAAATAAACACAATGAAGCTATTTATGAAAATGTGTACTGTGTTAGATGTATATAGATTGGAATAAAGCTAAAAGAGAAAGGAGAAAAAGAAAAAAAGAAAAGCTGACCTGCTGCATTGCTGGCAAAACCTTTGCTCAAGCCCTGCAACAATGACTTTTCGAGACTTTGAGTGCATACCACAGACTTTGTGCCTTGAGTAGTAAGCCTTAGAATCACTCAGATCTACCTTACACCCTTCCACTTGACACCTGGGTGGCTGGCTACCCTGTGCCCCACCACCCTTTCCCTTCTTCGCCGGCACCGGTGGTGGAAGTCCGGAAGATACCACCGGCGACGGCCCATCACCGATTTTAGCCTGAACTCCACTGCCCACATCCTCAAAGTAGATTTTCCTGCCAAAGTTCAAGCCATAGAGTGAGTCTTGCGCACCAGAACCTGAACCCTCTTCCATTCTTGCGTCTAAAACCCATTCATCACTGCCATGTGAGTCAAGTTACAACCACAAACGCAATATACTGCGGAAATAAATAAATGAAAGTATATATTTATCTAAGTACGGTAAAAAAAGATGCGACTTTTTTTTTTTTTAATCTTGATTTGGGTGTGTGTGTGTGTGTGTGTGTGTGTGATCGTGTGGATCTTTTTGGGTTTCAGAGGTTAGTGGTGGAAGTGTACTGGTGTAAAGACCTGACAATGGACCATAACGCCAGCTCGGGGATTGTGCTGAGTTTTCCGAATTCTCAGGAGAGAGAGAGAGCAATATCCAAAACACAAGTGTTTTAAGTACTTTTTGGGAGTTCACTCTGAAGCTTTAGACCACTTTATTTTACCAGTCACTAATAATTCAACTGTTGTTCATGAAAGGAGAAAATCGCACTAATAATTCAACTGTTGTTTATGAAAGGAGAAAATTGCGGTTGGAGTCTCTAAACTTTGTAAATACTATGTTTAAACTTCTACATTTTTTTCTAACTTATGAGCACTCGACTTGCAAATTATTTTGAAGAGTAGATTGTGTAACTCGTCGAGTTTTCTTCAAATTACATTCATATGACATGTACGGTCTATTTACCTATTTACTCGTTTTTCTTAAAAATTGTCTTTTGATGATAATGAAGCTAGTTGTTTTGAATCTATCGAGTTATACTAAAAATCACGAAATGAAAATTGTTTAAACATGCCAAGAGCTAGCTAGTTTACCTAAAAAATGATTTATTTTATTTGAATTTTTAAAAAATTGAAATCCACCTTGAGTCGATTCTGATTTGACCCTTTATCTTTTCATGAAATTTTCATAATATTCACATAACCATGGATGATAGGCCTTGTAACCATAGAGTGAAAACTACACTAGTAATACAACTCATGAACAATATATATTAGTACTTTGTAACTGTTGTTTAATTCTTGATACCGTACGAATTTTTTTAGCTTATTTTGTTATGTCAATTCTCATTGTAGAATTCGATTAGGATTATTCTCATAACATAACTCGTGCAAGACATGAATTCCATCCAATAAAAATTCATCTACATCGGACTCCAATGTCATAGAAAAGCAAATAGGAACCTAAATGCCGTATTTCATAATGTTTGAAGACTTGGACTGTAATATTACCTTAGTTTTTGTCATTTCCTATCTCACTAATCTACATGTACCTAACCCTATATGCCATGAATTCATCTACATAATCTACTGGCTTTCACTTTTTTATTCGCTTTTTCCTTCTATTATGGGTGCCGTAGAGTGGGGTGGAGTGCGTGGGATATCTATACCAAGAGAAAAGAAGAGAAGAGAAGGATTTACCGACAAACATATATATCCTGTTTGATATCCATTAAAAAGAATTTTTTTGGAAAAAAATAAGTTTTAAAATAATAATTTCTTAAATAATGTATGATTAAAAGTAGATTTTTTTTTTTTATGAATTTACGTGTAAAATATTTTTATTTTGAGAATGTATGATTGAAAACAAATTTTAAAAAAAAAACTTGAAGAATTATAGACAAACAAGGACATAATTGTCATTGGCAGCATATACACCCAAAAAAAAAAAAGTAAAAGCCAGATATAGGGTGATTCCTTGAATTTGATAAAGGGTGGGCTTGCATAGGGGTAGGCATGGTTCAATTTTAACAAGAACCAAATCTGACCTAAAATTTTTGAATATTTACTAAGTGAAACCATCGTGTTCAAATTTAATTATGGGAACCATTCGGATTTAATTCTATTTGGTTCGGTTCGGTTCAATTCCCAAATTATATACTATAATTAATGTTTTTAATATTTACAAAGCTATATTAATTCTACTAATGATATGTTCAATTTTAACTCTTACAAAATAACGCAATTCAATCTTATGTCTTTTACGTCTCTCTTTGCCGAGTTATTCATAGTTTTGATTGTTAACATTGCAGGAAGAGAAAAATAGCGAGTTCACAATAATTAAGAGATGTATTGTCGAGTTTTAATTTGATTTCTCTAGAATGACAGAAACGAACCACTACGGTAGAATAACAAATTTGAATAAAACTTAGATCAATTTAATTAAATTGGGTTTGGACTGAAAATTAAAAAATGATAATCATATTTTTGGATTTTGGCTAAATTAACTAATTAGCAAATTTATTTAGAAAAATAAAATAATTTAGCTTATTAAAATAAACAAATAAAAAAATTAAGAAATTTCTGTTCATATTCGGTTCTTAGGTTCTTGATCTGAAAGAGAAAATCGAACCGCGCCCGTCGATTCTCAATTTAAATATTCGTTCAGATATTTAACTTTAAAAAAAATTTCGACTCGATTCAATTCGATTCAGATCCGATTCAATTCAGTTCAGGAATTTTGTCTAGCCCTAGGCTTGCACCTTTGCCAAGAGCTAAATTTTGGACAAAATGGTCATAGTACCTTTCACCCCAAACCAATAGAATAAGAGTAATTATATTACTACTACAAAATTTATTAAATGCATCACATTTTTTTTATTTACTTTAAATAACCTTAAATAAAATTACATAATTAGAGTTTTAGTATACTTTTTAATAAAATAAATTATTATTCCACCACAAACATAAACATAATCCTTTCTTCTACGTTTGCAGCGTCTTCTGTCTCATTCATACATATCTATCAATTTGTTTAATCTCCAGAGTTTTGATCTGTTTTTGATTTCTTACACTTGTTCAAGCAATTGATCAAAAAAACTCTTTTTTTTTAATAATGAAAAATTGCATTGAAAATAAAGTCTTGCAAAGACAAAAGTACAAAGATCTAATCTAGAGGGATCTATGTTCACTTCATCGCATTTGCCAGTACAGAAATTTACCATTTTGTGCATTTTTTTTTATGATGAGATAAAGAGTGTGTGTACTGATAATTTATTGCTTCCTATTTACTGTCAATATAAATGCAGCAGAAACCCACAATAGGTTGCTTCCTTTCCTGAAAAATCCAAATCCTTATTTGTCTCTTCACGTTATAACAAAATCTTCCAGAAATTGGGATTGATGATTTTATCACAATCTCAAACCTTACGAATTCTTTAGAGTGATGATTTGATTTTTGGCGTTCAATGAACATCTTTGATTGCGATGAAAATTGACATTTTCGAAATGAAAGATCTCGATCTAATGTTGAATCAAATGTCCTAAGTTCTAACCAAATAAGGTGGAAAGGGTTAGAGAAGAAAGATGATTAACAATGGGAGGATATGTACACTTCATTTTATTTTCATTTTTAACTTTTATTGTGTTGGAAATATAATTGTAAATTTGTTGTGATGTATTTATTGAAATTATATTTCAATTGTGGTGCGAATATAATGTGGTTTAGTAATTAAATTTTGTAGTGGTAATATAATTACCTATATAATAAAGCAAACAATAGACATGCCTATTTGATAAAGATTAAAATCAAATTTCTGATAGATTTTGATAAAAATTGATGAATTGTATGATTAAAAAGTTATGAGCCCTATGAAATATTTGATTAAAATCAATTGTTGACTTGGACATAAATTAAAATATGAGACTTAATAGTAAATGAAAAATAGAGGAGATGAAGCATTCATGTGGCACGTGTCTCAAACAATTACAACAAAATAGAAAAGCATTATTCCCACATTTACGTGATTTCTTTTTTGCCACTCAAGTACACTTTTAGTTTACAAGTGCCAATACCCTCGAGCACGAGTAGCAATGACTTTGACGTGCAAATTCACAGAGGATATTTCATCTTGGTACTTTTCGTGCCTATAGAAGACGCGACTGGTTTATCTTTTTTACAGCCATAACATTATCGCTTTCCAGGATTCGGGAGCATCCCTGCCACAGGTGGTCAACAGGAAAACGTCACCCTAATTTTTTTATTGCAGAAACGATGACATATTCATCGTGACGATAATTGGGAAAACATAATATTTATATACATTGTGATTATCATATTCACAAGCAGGAGTCACGACATAACCAAACCTCAAACAATCATATAAATTCGCCAATAAGAATAATGATGGAAAATCAGGCTTGTGACCCCGAGACTTCGAGCCCAAAACACAACAAAATCTGGACTGGCCACTGGTCAAAAACAAAATAGAAACTGCAAGGTCCAAAATGAGGACAGCCATGGCTTATATTCTTTGTTTATACTCAAAAAGATTTGTTTATACTAATTTTCCCTTTTAACCATGGCCGGGTGAGGGGTTCACTTCTTTTCGGTTGGTTACCTTCAACTTGTCCTCTCCAAGGGCCGTTTGGTTGGGATTGCGGGATGGTTGGACCTTCTCTTGTTTGGGAAGGGGAGGGAGACCAAACATACCCTAAAAGTGTTAATGAGTCAAAGAATGTGGAACTGGAAAGGGGAACTCACTTGTTGCAGTGGCTTGCACAGAAACAATTTCGTAAAAGAGTTCTTGATCTCCCAGCAGTAGTGTCAACAAGACATAGTTCAACAAGCAAGCCGGAGGTATTTTGATCAGAAACCTATTCAAGAATAAAGATTAACAACTTCATTAACCCTTCAATTAATATCCTAGTATTTTTGTCCTTCAAAATTTGACCATCCTTGTAAATTTAAAGATTTAGCCACATCATTGACAAATAGATGAAAAAAAAAAAAACAAGAAATCAAAATCATTTTTTTAAGTAAAATGTCAAGCTATTTCTCAATGAGACCAAACTATCTCCAATGTAATATTTCAAACATATATTAATGGACAAACACAAAACAGAAATTCATAATACATTTACCTGGTACTAGAGAGTCTCTGCTTTTCCCATAGTATGCTGGTTAACGTGTAAAAGAAGAAAGGAGCTCAACTGAAACCACACTTTTTAACTTAAGTAATAACTTCTTCAGTTGCAAGCTTCGATAGAAATGTAACAACTCCATTAAACATATCTAGGAGACAATAAGTGTTCATTCTGTTTCAATTACATTTCTTTTCTCAATTTTTCCCAGACTTCAGGTCCTCTAGGATGGCAATTTACATAAGTCCTATCAAATTTTTTCTCTGAGCATGCTAAGAGAGTGCTCAAGGCCAAATTTTTATCTGCTGCTTTTTCATCTACCAGCCATTTGTACAATGAAAGTCTAAGCTTCACCCTATCAATTGTATAAGAGATATATGATGGAAAAGGTATCAAAGAGGACACTGGGTAGCCCAATTCATTTACAAGATAATCAATTTTCGATTCAATTACATCCTTGGATTGGTTAAGAATGTGAGGAGAGGATTTCAGCATCTTTATGACTTCCTCACGTTTCAAACCAGCATTTACTAAACAATCAAATCTCTCTTGAAGTTCAATACCTTTGCCTCGAAACACTTTGAGAGCTCGTTCCATTTCATTTGACTTCTCCATAAATCCCAGGCTTAACAAGAACTCAGTTTTCATCATTCGCGCTCTTATGGTCTTGTTTGTATCTGGCAGCAACCGTTTGACTCGCACTCCAAGGACCCAATTCTTTAACACGTTGGGGTCTTCCATGATCATTTGACAGAGCCGTTTCTTTCCAGTGTTCAAGTTAGCCAATAAGCTATTAACTTTCTTGAGATAACATGAACCCAGTAGTACAGGATGGGAATGAACAATTCTCCCAATATCTTGAACAGTCATTTCAATTTCAACCAGAAAATGATAGGAGTGCAACAAATTAGTAGCGAAGTTTTCAGCTGATATTTTGGGGAGCTGCAGAAACATAGTACTTAACTCATTCCGTGTGTATCCGAATTTCAGCAAGAACCCAATCAAAAAATAGGTCAAGTGTCCTGATCTCTCAAGCAAAAGTTCCGGATGCCGAGAAATGAATCCTCCTAATTGCTCCTCACTGCAGCCCATATCACTTAACATGCATAAAAGCTCAAGCATACGGTTCCAACTGTAAGAATTGCCTTCAAACATATGCTCCTCCAGCCAGTTATATTCAATCCCTGTATTCTTCAACTTTCTCAGAACCTCAATGAATTCCCAGCTCATATCTCCACGCAAAAGATAAGGACATGAAGCAATAACCTTAATAATAAGAGACTGACTTAACCCTAATTTTTCAAAAGATTGTAGCTTTGATTGCAAAACCCCACAATCATACTTAAATACTTCTGGTGCTTCCTTATATATTTTTCCTACTTTATTTCGTTCTATGCCATAATTGCACAAAACATAGTAGTTCTTCAACAGCACTTGATCATCATTCAAGAACATCAAATTCTGCGGAAGAAACGGAGAATACTCTGAAGGTTTCAAACCTATGCTTTCAAAGAATGGCTCAAACTCATTAATGGGATGGTACCTCAACAACCGCGTTACAGACCGCCCAACGTCTGTTTCACCGTTGTCAAGTCTTTTTAACAACTTTCCAAGAAAATATGGTGAATTTCTACTCATATTCTCGGCATCCATGAACTGCAAACTCCTGGTGGAATGCAAATAATCTAATAAAGCAGCTTGGGCTTCTTGCCTAACTGCACGCGGTATTTGCAACGTATTATCAATAATTTTACCCTTCTGTGATCTAACAACGTTACTGGTTCCATAAAACCTGAGGTTCTCTACAATGGGGTATGACCCGGCTACATAAAAATTGGATTTTGATAATCTCAACTTATTTTCAGAGCAAAAAAAAGTAATACATTTGATAATAGAGAGATTCCTAAGTCTCTGCAAATTGGTCATTGCTAGTTTATGCAAATATGATCCAGGAAAGGCAAACGAAAAGTGAACTGTCGATTTTTGAGCTACATGTAAAATTAAATACCTTGACAGTTTTCGTGGGTTAAAATTAAATACCTTGACAGTTTTCGTGGGCTTTGTGTTGTAAGAAGTTACCAGCGGGGCGGCGCCTCCGCAGTGATGGCCGTTGAAAACTAGGGTTCCGTCAAGGATGTCGAAGGAAATGGTTTGACTTCACACAACCCAGCCCACGCTGATGCTAAGAGCGTGAAGTTTTTTTTCGAGTTGGGCCAAAATTCTAATGTTGTTATTGAAGTAAAATTCTAACTAAGATATTAATTAAGGCATATTTTAAAAAATAAGAAAATATGTCTTAAATTTCCAAAATCATATTTTTATTAAAAATTATTTATAATTTAATTAATTAATTTAGTAATTAAATATATTTTAAGTTACAAATTTATATAATTTGGTTATAAATTAACGATTTAATTCGTCACTTATTATTTTTTGATCAGAAATCAGAGATTTTATGTCACAAATTATTTTACAGTCACAATTCAAAAATTTTATAGGTCACAGGTTTTTATCGATCATAAATCGAAAAATTTATAAGTTACAATTTATTTATTGGTCACAAATCATAAATATTACAAATCACAACTTATTATACAGTCACAAATTATCAAATTATCGATCATGAATTAAAAAATTTTTAGGTTACACATTATTTTTTTATCATAATTTATTTTTTCATTGGGTATAGATTAATCAATTTAATGATCACAATCAATCAAATAATTTGTGATCGCCACAAACACTTACAATTCACAGTCACAATTTTCAGGTCACGTATCCAATTGTGAGTTACAAATCAACCAACCCGCCACGACTGCCACCATCACCACCACGACCAATGGTGACTCCAAAATTGTGAGTTACAATTGGAAGTCACGATCACAATTTTCAGATCACGGTCCAATTATTTGTCACAAAATCAACCAAATTGCCATGACCACCACAATCACATTTGCACCACTGCCTTATTCATCACCAACAACAACACGAGATCCACCAGAACCATTCCACATACTACCACAACCTCTGTACCACCGCCTCGAAGACTACCACCACCAGCTCTAGATCTACCACCAGCAACATGAGATCCACCAACACCATCACCAATAAAATACCCCCAACATTACCAAATCATGGAAATCGTCATCGCTACCAATAACCAACAAAAACAAACCAAATCTGGCCTGGCAGCCATCATGCACGTACAAAAATCACCCCAAAATATCATATTAAACAATAGCAGCCACAACCAACAAATCGCAAAAAATGGTCGATGCTGGTACACAAATCGATACAAATCACAAACAATGACGACACAACACCTCTACGAGCTGCGCGCGACAACACATTCTCTTCTACACTGGTTATGAGTGACGACCCTCGCATGGACGAATGATAGGAGATATGGGCGCGACTGCAATGCCACTTCAATGGAAGAGAACAATGTCACCGTAGAGATGAGTGGTGGTGCGAGATTTACACTGTTCAGGCGATAATAGAGAGAGAGTCGAGGGAATTGAGATTGATGTATTTAGGTTTGAGATTGTTTTACTTAATTAATTTTTAAATATATTAATTAATTAAAAAAATTCTTATTTGTGAAGTACTAAACATGGCATTTTATTTATGAAATTGGGATTTTTAATCCATTAGAATCTATAATTTCCACTAAGCCTAATTAGTCACAGGTCGGGTAAGTTTGGTTCCTTGAGTTGGATGCATAAAAGGGCCCAACGGGCTATAAAACTTCAGAAAATGAAATGGGCCAGTGTTATGTGGGCTTGATTGTGTAGAGGGCAAGTTCGACCCTTCTTATACATACTTCAGTTTTAGTAGTTGGTCTGGCCGCAAAATCGGCCTGAATTTTCTGACATAAAACGTTTTTATTTTCACCACAAGATGTAATTTGACTAATTTCTATGAATAATATTATATAGAACTAGTTTAGGTGCCAACACCAATAACATTAAATTATGATCCATTAATAGGATCTGTAATATACAGAAGCTTGGATTGGTGTTCCAACACCAATGGAACTAAGCCCACGCTTGGCCCTCATTTTTTAAAATTAAGATGGGCGGAATAATATTTTTTGGAGAATAACTCATTAAAAAAGAAGGAAAATTTTCTATTTACGTATAATATTATTTTATAAACGATTATGGAATTGAAAATATGAGAGAAAAATGAAATTTAATTTAATGAGGGCCAAAAGTGCGCTAAAAAATATTCTTCAACTTCCATACATGGATTTCATCAAGCACTAGAAACAAAGTCTTCGAGCACTTGAAGAACAATGATTGTGAGGAACTTGTACATTAAATGCTTGAGACATCCCTCCATCCTCTGACAAAAAAAAAAAAAAAGTTTGTATGGCAAGATTTTGCGTTCAAGGTTTCAAAATCTTCCAATCAAATTTTTTGTGCAGTAAAGGGACACAAAAGAGCGTCCAATCCCTAATCTTTATATAGTACTGGCTTTTTTGGTTTGCTTATTGCATGAGATATTCTCTTTAATTTGTTTCCTAACTGAGGCACGATATTCTCAAGTTGCTAGGGCCAGCTTTTCTAATACTTAAATACATTTATAGCATGTCCAATATTTGAATTAAACAACTTTGAACAACATTTAAAGAAGAAAAGTTTGTATGATATATCAAATATGACAAAATAGATGAAATGAATCAATGTGTTTGGACCAATTCTCCATGTCCTTGGAACCCGATCTTCTAGTAGACCAATGGTGCAATCTCTCCTAAAAAGGCTAATGCACAACAATCATCATTGCTTTTGAAGGTAGGCTTGAGTAAGATACGGTCCAAGTATCATTCATAACAGCATATTAGGAATAAGAATTTTGAGGTTGGGCCGAGTAGGAAGCAACTGGTGCAGTCAAAATCGAGTAAGATGCAGTCGAAGTATCATTCGTAACAGCATAATGGGGATAAGAAATTTGGGGATGTGCCAAGCATTGAGAAGTTGGTGGGGCCAAACTTGAATAAGAAGCGGTCAGAGTAATCAAATATGCTGCCTGCGAGTAACTTTTAGTGAACGTGAGGTAATACTTCTCCCCAGCAATCACATAAAATAGAGCATGAAATAATTGCACGCATCTATTGAAATGGAGAAAGTTTATGGATATTTATCCGGTCAATGCAGAATTATCATTGCTTATGATCAATAAAATATGCTATCGAAATAAGCCAACACGAAAAATATTTTTTAGAATGATCTATCTCTATGATCATAATCAAATGAGGCTTATGCAAAGATATTCATCTACCTGCCCAAGCATTATTGTCAAAAGCTTTTTTTTATTATTTTTTTTCAGCCTCCACGGTTCTATGTGTGAGAAATCCAAAATCGCTTAATGAAAAATGCGACGGCAGAATCAACTGTTGACCTAACGAGACAAGATAAAGACGTGGAAGACTTTTACCAGCAATATTTTGTGTTGCTTTCATATTCAATGAAGCCATCTTCTATTGCACCATGTTTTTCAAAATAGGAAACCAACATTTCAATAGTTGTGCTCGGTGACAAACCATCATCGAGCAGCTTCCTCTAGGATAGAGTTTTAGAGCTTAAAAAAGTGTTTGCCATCGGGGAAACAAGCAGCCATGCGACCCTAAAATGATATTAAATGATAAAAATAGTAACTAGAATAAGAGACTCTAAGAGAAATAGCCTGAGCTTGAATCCCGCCACAGAATCATATGACAAGTTTAGCTAAGCCTAAAATGTTTACACACTAATTGAAATAGGGAAAAAAATTACTTTGATACCAAAGTAATGAAACGTTCTCAAAATAAGTAACTTTCTTTTTTATTTAAAAAGTCAAGTGTAACTAATCCAAGCATTGTGAAGACAAACTTTACTTCTTTTTAAGCTTAGCTAAACATGCTTATAATGCTTAGAACAATCACTTTACTAGGGGCTTTCACAGCTTTCTAAGCAAATTCAGAATCTTTGTATGTAATGAGACCATAACCACGGGGTCTTCCAGTTGGTGGATCCAAAACCACATAATAGTGTTTGACTTCACCATCTCTATAAATGCCTGAAGAAGAAGTCCACTTAACAAAGTTAATTTATAGCATTCAATCTTGTACTCATAATAACCATCTACGGTTTAATAAATGATAAAAGTAGAATACTTAAAAGATAACCATTGAAAGTTTCTACATGATTAAGCGACCAAGACCCGTATTAAAGGGTGCATTCACTAAGAAAACATAAAAACAATCCACGGGCATATCACTCACATCACAAACAGTTACTGCCGTAGTTTTTTCGACTAAAACAAGAACAAAAACCTTTCGAAAGTATAGAGCTGCGCTTGCAAGACTTTTAAGTTCTTCAGCAACGGAAGGATATCGCATAGCTTCATGGTAGATCATGAAAATAAGCACGTGTACAAATTTGTCAATTCACATAGCGTGTGTCTCTTATGTTGGAATTTTAAACATCATAAAACTAGAAACTTTAGAATTTGAAAACCGAATTACCTTATTACCAAGATCCCCATGTCGAATCGCCCATAAAATGAATAATGTGAGACATACCTTAATTCTTTGAGAATTGTTCTTTACTATTAGATCTTGATTTCGGATCTTAAATCTTGAAAATCAACTTGAAATCCCTTCTCGATTGGTTTCTTGCTTTCAATCTTGAATTTTGCTTCCTTGGATTCTTTGATTGTTGTTGTTGATTTTTCTTCTTGATCCATAATATTTATTATTTAGAGCCTGTTTGAGCCAAATCTTTTGCCAATTTTAATGATTTTTCCGACAGTTGGAGCAGACATGGTATGGCCTGGTACTTGAATTTATCGCAGATTTGGCAGACCAATTAGTGGGTAATTTTCGATTTTGCCCATAGTCTTTCAAAATGGGTGCAAATGACATTCACGTGAGCATGTGGTGGGCACTAACAGTCAAAGGTTTCCAAACAATTAATAAAAGTATTCCACACTTTCCGACCTTGCCACAACTTGCCAGCACATTATTGATGTCAACATTGAATTTTCGTACAAGACCCTACTTCGAAGGAAAAAAGAAACTCACGATAAAATTACAAACACCCATACGGTAGGCAACTGAACGTGGGGGGAATTTTAAAAAAAATAAATACAAGCGACATTATTACGACAACGGTCGAATCCGGCAAAGTTAGAATTCGGCATAACACATAGACGGTACAAGAGGCACCGT